CTATATATATAAATAGGCCATAAGTTGTATTTTGTTCACTATAAAGTGTGTTTTATAGTCGAATAGTACAACTTATGGCCTATTTATATATATAGCAAGTAACAAATATAATTGTTAACCATGTGAGTCATCTGGTAATTAACTATAATGCCTTCTAATAAGGGCGTAGCATGGTTCTTGTTAATCTATAGTATGAATGAAAATTATACAATGTCTTTTACTATAAGTTGTATACTCATTATTAGTCTAAACATTTAGTTGAAATAAAACAATAATAAATTGTAATTTAATCCGGGATATGAATTGGAGTAAGTTGCTATGCATCCCTATTGAGGAAGGGCGTCGATATAGGTAAGGATATATTATTACTAATCAGGAATAATTTTCTATTGAGTAGGCATTGTAAACTATTGAAATGCTGGTTGATTTGATCTCTATGAAAAATTGAATTGATCGAAAAAATTATGACAAAAACTAATCAGGAATAATTTTCTAACCAACACGTACTAATCAATAACGATCATCTAGAACGCTAATTGTTGAGCCTAATACATTAAACTTATTGCTCAAATTTTTGAATCAACTGAATTGTTGTATAGTTCCCACTTAACGTGTTCTTGCAATTGTTATTGCGAAAAATCTTTTCACATAATATAAGCCCAACTTGACCATTATGCAACGTAATCCTCCAAATTATTATTTTATTTGCATGATTATATTCTCTATAGGCATCATAGTCTGCAATTTGACAATTTTATTTAAATTTATCATTTAAACAAAAAAATAAATAAAAAGCATTAATTTTGCTTTGGTAAAATATAAAAGTAGAAAAGAGAGGGGACCAAGATGTGAGGTATAATCATCACCTCCTATGCCATTAAGCACAAGAGATAATTGATGTTGTTCCTCTGTGGGCCTTTCATTTTTCTTTTCCTAAAAAATATCTAGTTTATTTATTTATTTATTCCCATAGAATATTTTAAAATTTTTTTATACGCATTCCAAGTTTTTTTATTTCCTAATTTCACATTAAAATATTGCCAACTTCGAGCCTCATGCAAACCCTAATGATTCCCTTTCTAAATTTAATCACTTGGGTCCCACCATTTATTTATATTCACTAAAGTAGGGTTTGCTTTTACCAAGACGTGGTGTCATTAACAAGTAATTATAACGATCGATTCTAAATATATTGTGATGTACTAACATAATTGGCATTAAGGAAATAATAACAATTAAATCAAGGATGCATGCATGTAAATAAATAAGTTGATGAGTATAACTTTAGAGAGTTTTTTTTTTTTTTTTTTTTTTTTTTTTAATGATGTTGATTAGCATTGATACGTTAATATTAAATATAATTATGTGTGATATATTTAACTATACAAGGTAATATTGACATTAGTGTTAATAATATTGATATAATAAAAAAATAGCATGTATGATTGTCCCAATTACTATTGATTGGCACAAGAGAAAATCTTATAATTTAATTTTATCAAAAATATAATTTTAATCCTTAAAAATATATGTAAATAATTAAATCAATAAATTAAAATAATCTATTGTTATAAGAATAATGCTATTTCTCCATCTTAAGTTTACTTCATAATGTTAATTTCTTGACATGGTAATAAATTTTTTTTATTAAGTGACACCTGTGAATTAGTTAGTTGTACTCTACGTTAAAATAATTTACTTATTAATTAAATATAAAAAATAATCACATATTACTAAGTATGTATGTAAAAAGGTGAATATTATGTGGTAAAACTAACCTAGATATGATCGAATGTAACATCAATCATTATTATTATATAAAAGAGAAAATTAGAAGAGGAAAGATCTTTGGTGATTAATTAGGGGATTTTGAGAATTCTTTTGCTATGTGAATGACTGTAAAGTACCATGAGAGGTAATAATTGAAAGTAAGTTTTTTTTTTTTTTTTTTTTTTTTTTTTAGCTGTTTAAATGCATGGTTTATCTTTGTACTGGTTGATTTAGTTTGTCCTTTTTATACTATGGGTAAAAAGAAAGATAGCGGACTAAATTTGACAACTAGCTCACTTTTAAACCCTTTCATAGTTGCTATAGTAAGGTTTATCCGATATATACTTTTAAGTAATAATAATTATGAATTAATAAGTTATCTTGTAGCTTAGTTGGTTAGAGTGCTGGTCTTATGAGTTGGAAGTTGTGAGTTCAAGCCTTGCACGCTAGGACCATTTTAAGAATTCACCAATTTTAAGTTTCAGTGTGGATCCGGGGGAGTGGTGTCACCATCAGCAATGTGGGAGCAACCTCATCGAGTCTCACCAGCGATAGTGTAGGTTAAGTTAATAAGTGGTCTTGTAGCTCAGTTGGTTAGAGCGCTGGTCTTATGAGCCGGAGGTCGCGAGTTCGAGCCTCGCCAGGACCATTTTAAGAATTCACCATTTTTACGCCCGTAGTTTGCATGGGTGAAGTTTGCCACCAACTGGGGTGAAGTTTGGGAACAATGACCAGCCTCACCAGCAGTGTGGGAGCAACCTCATCGAGTCTCACCAGCGACAGTGTAGGTGAAGTTAATAAGTGGTCTTGTAGCTCAGTTGGTTAGAGCGCTGGTCTTATGAGCCGGAGGTCGCGAGTTCGAGCTTCGCCAGGACCATTTTTACGCACGTAGTTTGCATCGGTAAAGTTTGGGAAGACTGACTACTCGGGATGACTCACCAGTAGCAGTGTGTGGGGGACTGACTACTCGCTCGGGGCTCACCAGTAGCAGTGTGTGGGGGGCTGACTACTCGCTTGGTAGACTGACTACTCGTTCGGGGGTCACCAGTGGCAGTGTGTGGGGGACTGACTACTCGCTCGGGGGTCACCAGTGGGAGAATGACTACTCGCTCGGGGGTCACCAGTGGGAGACTGACTACTCGCTCGGGGGTCACCAGTAGCAGTGTGTCCCGGGATGACCAGTAGCAGTGTGTGGGAGACTGACTACTCGCTCGGGGGTCACCAGTAGCAGTGTGTATCCCGGGATGACTCACCAATAGCAGTGTGTGGGAGACTGACTACTCGCTCGGGGGTCACCAGTAGCCAGTGTGTGGGCTCGGGGGTCACCAGTAGCAGTGTGTGAGAGACTGACTACTCGGGGCAGTGTGTGGGAGACCTGACTACTCGGGGTCCCTTGTGGGAGACTGACTACTCGGGGGTTACCAGTAGCTACTCGCTCGGGGGTCACCAGTAGCAGTGTGTGCACTGACTGACTACTCGGGGTCTCCCTTGTGGGAGACTGACTACTCGGGGGTCACCAGTAGCAATGTGTGGGAGACTGACTACTCGGGGTCCCTTGTGGTCACCAGTAGCTACAGTAGCAGTGTGTGGGAGATTGATTACTCGGGGGGTCACCAGTAGCAGTGTGTGGGAGACTGACTACTCGGGGGGTCACCAGTAGCAGTGTGTGGGAGACTGACTACTCGGGGTCCCTTGTGGGAGACTGACTACTCGGGGGTTTACCAGTAGCTACTCGCTCGGGGGTCACCAGTAGCAGTGTGTGCACTGACTGACTACTCGGGGTCCCTTGTGGGAGACTGACTGACTACTCGGGGTCCCTTGTGGGAGACTGACTACTCGGGGTCCCTTGTGGTCACCAGTAGCTACAGTAGCAGTGTGTGGGAGATTGACTTCTCGGGGGTCACCAGTAGCAGTGTGTGGGAGACTGACTACAGTAGCAGTGTGTGGGAGACTGACTACAGTAGCAGTGTGTGGGAGACTGACTACAGTAGCAGTGTGTGGGAGACTGACTACTCGGGGTCCCTTGTGCGCAGTAAGCACATGGGTGAGGGTGTGTGGGAGACTGACTCGGGGGTCCCTTGTGCGCAGTAAGCACATGGGTGAGGGTGTGTGGGAGACTGACTCGGGGGTCCCTTGTGCGCAGTAAGCACATGGGTGAGGGTGTGTGGGAGACTGACTCGGGGGTCCCTTGTGCGCCTTAAGCAAATGGGTGAGGGTGTGTGGGAGACTGACTCGGGGGTCCCTTGTGCGCAGTAAGCATATGTGAAGTTTGGGAGACTGCTACTGGAGCAATCTCTCATTGAGTCTCACTAGCGGTAGTGTGGAGAATGGTGTCACCCTCGGTAGTGTGTGAGGGGACTCCTTATGCGTAGTGTTCAGTTGAGTTACCATGTGATCCAACTTTTTGGGAACAATAATAATTACGAGCACGTGCATGGACAACAATTTTTAGAGCGCTCAATATTTATTTTGGACCTAAAGAAATAAAAAAAATACAATTAATTGTAAAACTCATCAATTTTTTTTCCAAATCACTTTTCTCTCCTAATAATTAGGACCTAATTAATTGAATTTGTCAAAACCATTTTGTAACTAAAAAGAAGAGTCATATATTTTACGGTATTGGTTTTGAATATAGCACTTATACTTTTGATAGGACTTCATTTATTTATAAAAACGAGACCAAAAAATTTTAAAACCAGGCCTGATTACGAGTTTCCCTCGTCACAAAAAAAAAAGTTTGAAAACAATAATAGTTACGAGTTTCTCTCGTAAAAAAAAAAAAGGTAATCATAGTCAAAAATGACTGAGAGCAAATTATGCGAAATTTAATTTATTTAAAATATCTTTATATTATTTAAAAATTGAATTTTATAAATAATCAAGCTTAAATAATATATAAACTCTATAGTCAAATCTACTATTTGAAAAGAGACGAGTTATTGATAAGCGTATGTAGTATTGCTGTAGATGAATTTCTGTGCATTGTCCAATATTGATCTCCTTTGCTGCTTAATTATGAGGCCATTTGATGATTAGTTAGCTGTTAATTACAATTTATATATTTTTTTAATATTTTTATTCTATAAATTACATTTGAGTATTTGACGTGTGTGTACTAAAAGGGTAGAATTCTTTCAAATTTTTTTTTTTTAAATTTTAAATAGTTAATTGGAAAGGATGATTACTAAGTATGTGTCAACATAATTGAAGTATGTGTTCAATCTCAACTAAACGTCTAAGTTTATAATTGGATTGCACATTAATGGTTATATGCGGTCTGACTCTGATACCAAATTGAAGCATGTGCTTCATCTCAACTAAAAGCATAAGCTTATACTTGGATTGCATTAATGGTTATATCTTCAACACACATCAATCATCTATCATGATAAAAGAGTAAATACTCAAAATGGTCCCTGGTCTATAGCTAAATTCACAAATTGGTCATCGACTTTCAATTTCAACCAATTAAGTCCTTAACTTTGTAATTTTGACACGATTTGGTCCTCCATTTATTTGACCGTTTGTTGACCGTGATCGACGATCTCCAGATGAACCTTCAGCTCTCGTTAGAGCACGTGGAGGACTCTAGGATGACGTTGCACTTGTTCGGAAACGTGTCGTCTTCTTCGCTCTGGTATGAACTCAACTACATTGAATCCAAAGGGAAGATGAAGAAAGGCGATTGGATTTGGTATATTGCTTTCGGCAGTGCATTAAAATGTAACAGTGCGGTTTGGAAATGCAACCAAAACCTTAAAAAACCGACGATGGACCATGAAATTACATATATATCCTCAAAAATCACAGTCAACAAACTGTCAAATAGACAGAGGACCAAATTGTGTTAAAATTACAAAGTTAAGGACTTAATTGGTTGAAATTGAAAGTCGAGGACCAATTTGTGAATTTAGCTATAATCGATGGACTATTTTGGGTATTTACTCATGATAAAACTCAATATTGTATTTGGATTATAGTTATTTTAGAAAATATGCAAATATAAATATATTAATTTTAATTTTAATTATTTATTTAGAAATTTAAAATTTGAAGATCGAGGTAACGTTGCATCAGAAGTGAAGAGAGTAAGGGGAACATTCTCACGCCCTCTGACACCAAAAATCACTCTTTGTTGGATCAAACATAGTTCACAGTTCTCTCAGCTCCTTCAAAAAACATCATCTCCGATATTGCCTTGTCTGTGGGGCCCTCCCACTACCCCCTTTGACCACAACTCAATTCCACCTCCCTTCTTTTTCGCATTTTGTCTCTTTTTCAGTTTTTCTTCTTCTTTTCACTTTTATTTATTTTTACTACTCTTTTAAATCAATAAATCTAATTTCTTTGCCTGTCTAAAAAAAAAAAATTATTTTCATGACAGAATAAATATAATGTGTTCAATACGACAATACACTGCTTTTCTCATTCACACTGCCAATTTCCCTCCTTTTCCATTTACAAAAATAAATAAATAAACAACAAATAAAAAAAGAATTTAAAAGGGCAAGCTTTTCCCTAAAGCTACTCTCCTCCTTTTCTCTCTTAAGCTCACTCATTTCTTCTCTTCTTCTCTCTTCACTTCTCCATTCCAATGGAAACTACACTCTCACAACTCCAGAAATCCCTTCGCCTTTCCGCCATTTTAGTCTGGGCAGTTCTGTTTCCGGTTTTCTCAGACCCGGGACCGGTTCGCTCCATCAAAACCGATGCGGAGGCGCTTCTGGCGTTCAAGAAGATGATCCAGAGAGACCCAAACGGCGCCCTCTCCGGCTGGGAGCTGAAGAAAGATCCATGTTCTTGGAACGGCGTGAGTTGCAGCGCCGGGAGAGTGAGCGCCGTTGATCTTACGCAGGCGGGGCTTGTCGGCGACGTTTCTTTCTACCCTTTTGGTTCTCTGGATATGTTAATTGCGCTTAATGTTTCCGGGAACAATGGGTTGTCCGTGAATGCGTCTTCGTCGTTGAGAATGCTCCCTTCCGGGTTAAAACAGTTGGAGTTGTCGTTTTCCGGGCTGGCCGGGCCGGTGCCGGAGAATCTCTTTGTTAAATGCCCGAATCTTGAGTATGTAAGCGTTGGTTTCAATAATATCACCGGTTCTCTCCCGGTGAATTTCCTGTTTCGCACCGGAAAATTGCAGCATCTCGACATGTCGTTTAATAATCTCACCGGCTCGATCTCCGGGATGAGGATTGAGGTTTGTGATTCCTTATCGTTTCTTGATTTGTCCGGGAACCGGTTCACGGATTCTGTCCCGGCGGCGTTCGGGAACTGTACTGCTCTCTCGGAGATGATTTTGGCTTCCAATTCTTTCACCGGTCCGATTCCTAGAGAGTTTGGGCAGCTGAGGAGTTTGCTGAGATTGGATATTTCTTCGAATCTTTTAACCGGATGGATCCCGCCGGAGTTCGGGAATGTTTGTGGGTCCCTTCTGGACCTCAAGCTTTCGCATAACAATCTCACCGGGGCTATCCCGGTTTCCTTCTCGGCGTGTTCTTGGCTCCAGAATCTTGATTTATCGAACAATAATTTAACAGGGCCGTTTCCTGATTCCATTCTTCGGAATCTGGGCTCGCTGGAAACTCTGTTAATGAGCAGTAACAAGATCTCCGGTGCGTTTCCGCCTTCTTTGTCGTTCTGCAAGAAGCTTAGAGTGATAGATTTTAGTTCCAACAATATTTCCGGCGTTATTCCGCCGGATTTATGCCCCGGCGCCGCTGCTCTGGAAGAGCTGAGAGCGCCGGATAATTTTCTGTACGGGGGGATTCCGGCGCAGCTCTCGAAATGTTCGCAGCTCAGGACGATTGATTTCAGCCTGAATTATCTCAACGGTTCGATCCCGCCGGAGCTGGGGAAGCTGGGGAATCTGGAGCAGCTGATAGCTTGGTACAACAACTTGGAAGGGAATATTCCGGCGGAGTTGGGGAACTGCGGGAGGCTAAAAGATCTCATCTTGAACAACAATTACCTCACCGGAAAAATACCACCGGAGCTTTTCAACTGCGGGAATCTTGAATGGATTTCCCTGACCAGCAACGGGATACGCGGCGAAATCCCGCCGCAGTTTGGGTCCCTGACGAGGTTGTCGGTTTTGCAGCTCGGAAATAACAGCTTAACCGGAGAAATCCCGAGGGAGTTAGCTAAATGCACCAGCTTGGTATGGCTGGACCTGAGCAGCAACCGTTTAACCGGCGAAATCCCGCCGCGGCTCGGCCGGCAGCAGGGGGCGAAGCCCCTGAGCGGGATGTTATCCGGCAACACAATGATTTTTGTCAGGAACGTCGGAAACTCCTGCCGGGGAGTCGGCGGGTTGCTGGAATTTTCCGGCATTCGTCCCGAAAGACTACTGCAGATTCCATCCCTCCGGAGCTGTGATTTCACGAGATTATATTCCGGTGCCGTTCTGAATCTTTTTACCCGGTACCAAACTCTTGAATATCTCGACTTATCTTACAATGAACTCCGGGGAGAAATTCCTAACGAATTCGGGGACATGATAGCTTTACAAGTACTGGTAATAGCCCACAATCATTTATCCGGCGAGATCCCATCCTCCCTCGGGGGACTAAAGAATCTAGGAGTCTTTGATGCTTCTCATAATAGGCTCCAGGGGCATATCCCTGATTCGTTCTCAAATCTTTCTTTCCTAGTCCAAATTGATCTTTCCAATAATGAGTTAACCGGACAAATCCCTCAAAGAGGGCAACTAAGCACGCTTCCGGCGACCCAATTCGCCAACAATCCGGGCCTCTGCGGCGTTCCGTTGACGGAATGTGGGTACGATTACAATCCCCCGGCGACGAATCCTGGAAAATCAGCCCGGAGAGGCACGGCGGCCTCCTGGGCCAATAGTATTGTTCTGGGGATTCTTATATCGGTTGCTTCGGTGTGTATATTGATTGTGTGGGCCATTGCGATGCGGGCGCGGCGGCGGGAGGCGGAGGACGTGAAAATGCTGAGCAGCCTGAACGCGTGCCACGCCGCCACGACGTGGAAGATCGAGAAGGAGAAAGAGCCGCTGAGCATAAACGTGGCGACGTTCCAGCGGCAGCTGAGGAAGCTGAAATTCTCGCAGCTGATAGAGGCCACCAACGGGTTCGCGGCCGCCAGCATGATCGGGTCCGGCGGGTTCGGGGAGGTGTTTAAAGCCACTCTCAAAGACGGCTCCAGCGTGGCGATCAAGAAGCTCATCCGGTTAAGCTGCCAGGGCGACCGGGAATTCATGGCGGAGATGGAAACTCTGGGCAAAATCAAACACAAAAACCTCGTCCCCCTCCTCGGCTACTGCAAAATCGGGGAGGAGCGGTTACTTGTCTACGAGTTCATGGAAAACGGCAGCCTCGAAGAGGTCCTCCACGGCCGGACCAAATCGGGGCGGCGGATCTTAACATGGGAAGAGAGAAAAAAGATCGCTAGGGGAGCCGCGAAGGGGCTCTGTTTTCTCCACCATAACTGCATCCCTCATATCATCCACCGCGACATGAAATCCAGCAACGTCCTCTTAGACCAAGAACTCGACGCCCGCGTCTCCGATTTCGGGATGGCCAGACTGATCAGCGCGCTCGACACCCATCTCAGCGTGAGCACCCTCGCCGGCACGCCGGGATACGTCCCGCCGGAGTATTACCAGAGCTTCCGCTGCACCGCCAAGGGCGACGTCTACTCCTTCGGCGTCGTCCTCCTCGAGCTCCTCACCGGAAAACGCCCCACCGACAAGGAAGATTTCGGGGACACGAACCTCGTCGGATGGGTAAAAATGAAGGTGAGAGAAGCGAAATCCATGGAAGTCATTGATCCCGAGCTCTTGTTAGTGGCGAAAGGGCAGACGGATGAAGCGGAAGCGGCGGAGGTGAAGGAGATGGTGAGATATCTGGAGATAACGCTGCAGTGTGTGGATGATTTTCCGTCGAAGAGGCCTAATATGCTGCAGGTGGTGGCGATGTTGAGAGAGCTGATTATGCCGGGGAGTGGGAGTTCTAGCAGCAGTGCCTGAGAATCTATCGTCATGGGAGATCAGATTGTTCATTGTTGAAGAAGGTGTAAGATTTGTTAAGAAGTTTTCACTTTTGCTTTCATCTTTCCACTTTTTTGGTGTCATTTTTGAGGTCTGTATGTAGATTATTATAACTTAATTGTATGAAGGCTTACAAGAAATGTATGATCAAGTTCGTTATTGCATTAACAAAACCTCACAATCACAACACAATTCGTGTTTATAAACTCCCAGGTTTATTATCACTTTTCCTTTCTCAGAAATCTTAAAATTTTCAATAATGAGTAGGAATAAGCTTCCACAGAGAACCATACACCAACCTAAGTTACTTATATAGTTGATCGGTCTCAAATTAAGATGGTTAATAAATGGTTTCTGTTGAGAGTCTGATTTCAATAATTAGTAAAATAATATATTACGATGGAAGGATGAATAATATAAGTTATTGTGTATATATTTCTTCCAAGTGCTTAGTATATATCTATATCTTAAATACAAATATTCTTACATTAAAAGATAAATACATATAACTATCAAAATGAATTATATGGTCTCTTTTTCAATGTAAATATTTTAAATGATAATGGTCAAATAAGCTTTCAAATAAAATAATAAGTTAGACTCTCCGCCGTAGTGGTTTGTTGGTCTATGGACAACCTAAGCTAGGATATCTCATTTTGGTTCTTTGTCGATTAAGTCACAAGACATAATTTTTTTTAACACACGCCCTCGAATAGTGATCTTATGTTTCTCTTGTGATCCACTTATCCAAAATAAGCTTTCAATTTTTTTAGAAAAAATAATTAAGTCAGTTTTTTTTTTCCTTTAATTTTATAAATACTATATCATTATAATTGATCCCGTGGATAATTGGTAACCTATAAAAAGTTCAAATAAGTCAGTTATAGATGACATGGCGTCTTATGTGCACGAAAAAAAAAAAAAAAAACTTAGGTGGCACCTTTACATTATTAAGATGGACTGATTGGATAATTGGATAAAGGGCTCTAAACTCAAAAAACTGGGTTTAGCCCAAGAAAAACGCCTGCAAAGGTTCTAAACTTGGCCCAAAGTGGGTCGGCCTATTAGATCGACCCAAATGATGTAAAGGCCCGTTTGGCTGCAACCGGTAAGGTACCTATGAAATTTCAATCGTTATGCTGTGCATCCGTATGCACCATGCATGGTGCATACGGATGCCAAAACGACGTCGTTTTATTAAAAAACGCGCGTCTTCCCTTTAAAAAAAATTCAGATTCGATTCTCAACAACAACATTATATTGTTCATTCATTCTGGAATTTTAGTTCATAGATTATGGAATTATAGTTCATTGATTATGGAATTATAGTTCATCGATTATGGAATTGTAGTTCATCGATTCTGAAATTTTAGTTTATAGATTATGGAATTTTAGTTCATTCATTCTGGAATTATAGTTCATCGATTATGGAATTATAGTTCATATGTTGTTGATGGGAATCGAACCTGATTTTTTTTTAAGGAGAGACTCGCGTTTTATTAAAACGACGTCGTTTTTGCATCCGTATGCACAGCATAATTTGCCATGAAATTTTCATTTACCCATAATCCTCAATTGAACCTATTGAAATACATGGAACCAATAACGCCTCCATTGAGGCTCAAACTCACAATCTTCCAAATGGAAGTCCAACCCGAATACCATTAGACCACATAGTCCCGGATACCATTCTCAATTATTCTCAATTGTTAATTTGACCAATTCGAGAATTGTAGGGAAGTTTTTTTCCCCTTTTTTTACTCATCAATGCGTGAATTCGAACATAATCACCGGCATATTAAAAATTGCAATCAACGGCTGAAATCAAGTGTTCAACGTCATTAGATGAATGGTTGGAATTAGTATACTCCGTTTCACCTGGGAGAAGTTTCGCATATGATTCTTTTGTCTATATATATGTGTACGCGTACGCGTGGCATGCATACACGTGATTTTGTACTATATGCCCGTGTGCCACCCCATAATGAATAGAGAAGGTTTTGAGTACACTCTATGATATCTGGTACTCAGGTATAAATAAATTTAAATTCTTTCCTAAAAATTAGTAGTTTGTATCCGGTACAAGAGCAGCCCTTGACAAATGAACCTGCCATGCATATATAGAACAATAGCAATGAAACATGTAATCTTCGATCATGTCGTACATATCAACCAACAAATGTCACCATATAGCGTCTGTTTTACTCCCTCGTTTCAATATCTATTATATAATAATTATATAATAACGTAACGTTGAATGCAGTGCACCTACAGGAACCGTTCGATTTCAGAAACACGCTATCAACGGTATTGGACGCCCCTCATCCCTGCCGGCCAACTTCATCTCCTGTACTGTAATTTTGCATGCACAATCATCGTACAGAACGAACGGGCCGGGATTTCATAGGAATCCACAATAAATGGACCCCACCATCTAACAATGGGCATACATATATAAAGCCATGTACATACCAGCTCCTCCTGTACGTACGTATTAAACCAGCTTAATTATTATTAGTCGTCGTTTAATTTCAGAATGTCACAGTTTGATATGTATGATCCGGACCAGCACCGCCAACAGCCGCCGCAGCAACCTCGTAGGAAATCGAAACTGGGGTTGCTGTTGTTAGCTTCCAGAGTTGCGACGTTGGCTTCGCTCCTTGTCTCTATTGTGATTCTGAGGAGCAACAAAAAGACTTACGACGGTTCCAGGGTCTACTATGATGATTTCCACTCTTATGGGTAAATTCTCTTTCTTTTTCTTAATAACCAGAGAAATCCACAGTCACTATTTCAGAGTATGTACTGGAAGACTCTAAATAGTCGGCAAAGGATCACAAAAAAAGGAATGAATTATCTGTACTGGATAAACTCTGTCTTGTGCTCCTAACCTGCAAATTAAAGGACCACAACGAAAATCGTAAATTATCTTTCATTATATTATTTAGTAAAAAATGGAATTGTTGCCTGCAGGTATACGTTCTGGGTGATGATAGTAGGATGCGTGTACAGTCTGCTCCAAATCCCTCTTGCACTATACTTCTTCCTCAGAGGGGAGCTTCTAATACGTTACACACGCTTTGTTAAGTTTGAGTTTTATGCTGATAAGGTGAGAAACTATCTACTTAATTAATTAAATTCATCCAACAACATATGATAAATATTTTGTACATATATATTCTTTGATTTACTGGAAGACCCTCAACCACTAAAGTAAGGTGCACTTGGAGTAAAACTAGGCCTGTCAAATGTACACTCTAGATAAAACTCCAATTATAACTTTAGTTGATCAAAAATCATAATAAGATAAATCAGTTTAGGCTGTCATACTAACCGACTCAAACTAAAAAGGTCAATAGACAGCTCTCATGGGAATTTAAACTTAATGTATACCTTGGTATTACGAAGTCAACTATAGACTGCTCAATTATTATTAAAGTTTGAAATTTGTAGGTGATGGGGGTGCTACTAGCAACAGCAGTAGGTGCAACATTTGGTGCTACCACGGACATGGACGACCATGTAAGGAATGACAGTGAATGGGAACATACTCTTCATGACTTCTGGCGTCTTATGTATCTTCCAGCCAGCTTTCTTCTCCTAGGTTTCGCAACCTCGGCCATCTCTGCAATTGTCTCATCTGAAATTATCCTTGCTAGGTCTAAATTATGACCATGCGTAGTATCATCTCGTTTTTGTTTAGATCATGAATAAACGTTTATTTTTAATATACTGAAATTACATTATTTAATTTTATAATGTACATTTAATAGTTAATACACGAATAATGTATCTTCAAAAAATGAATATTTAGTGTATTAATAAATGTATTTTTAGTATATTAAAAATGTATCTTATGTCAATAGTTCATCTTACAAGGTCCATGGTATAATGATTGGATGGATTGGGGGTAAGTTTAAAAAATTAAACTTGTAATGGGTTAGACGGTTGTGAGTTTTATTTAAAAAAAAAAAAAAAAAAAAAAACTTTCATAGAATTTCATATGACTTACCATGATATTATTAATAATTAGTAGACGATATAAAAAAAATATATATATATAACTATACTAGACATGGAAAATATTATATGAAAAAAAAATTAAAAAAATCAAAGTTTGCCTGTTTTGTGATAATTTTTGTTGAAAGATAGAGGTCATTTACTAAACAAGACCCATATGATTTATAACTTACAAAGGAAGCTATGTAAATATAAACCGAGTATATACCTATCATCTGTGTAACAATTAAAGCATTGAAAAGGTCATGCATACTTTTCTTTGTTTCTCCAGCCAATGACTACAACCTCTTATCTTATACTCCGTATAGTATTACAAAAGTCAATAAATGTGGGCACGAGTTAGCTCAAATCTCAATGGTTCAGGAGACAGTATTTATGATAAGAGATCAATATTTGGAACTCAACAATAATAATATGTGGATTATGTTCAAAGTTAGTAGATTTTTGTACGGGCATTTGAGTCCTGTCAGTTACCATAAAGTTATTATGAAAAAAATCTGTCAGTTACAATGTGAGAATTTTATTCAATATTGTGAATTTATTGTAGGCATTAGACATTAATCCTCCGACATAATAAGTCACTAAGTTATCATACATGATTTATTATTCATCTACTATTCTATCACACTTGGCGGGCCCTAAGGCAATAGAATTTTAAAATTGAAAATGTAGTTAAACAATTAAAGCATTGAAAATGGCTTGCATGTGTCTACTTCGTGTCTCCTGCTATTGACTGCAACCTCTAATATTAGAAAAGCCAATAACACTTATTCACACGGGTTTAACTCACTACTTTAATAAACAGTATTTGAAGAAAAAGGTAAAGGTTTGAAAATTAACAGCAACAGTGTCTGGATTATTTTCAAAGTGGAGAAATCACTTGGACGTACCGATATTTGGCCATGTCTGTTGAGTCACTGAGTTACCGTGACTTACATCCTCTCACATTCTCTGTCGAGTCGGGTGTGGGGGTGCTTGAATTGAAGTTGGGGATACAACCTTTTGGGAGAAGAATAAAAGTTATAGGCCCTGTTTGGTAAATGGCTGTTACGTTAGCGGTTAGCTGATTGGGTTAATTAGAGGGTATAACTAGTTGATAACATTAGTTGATTGTAGAAGTGTATTTGATAAATGAGTTGTTAGCTAATAGCTATTTGGTATAATTTTTTCTCAAAAAACTAATTAAAAACTTATTCATTCTCAGGCACTACTATTAGTAACCATGCATTCCCATTCCATCCTACTACTAAACATGTTAATAATAATGGCTTGGGTAGGAATTCATTGTAAGTGGACCCAACCATCTAAAGACGCAAGACTATGCTTCTCAACTTGCGTATAAAGGAATTCAATGCGATCAACCAATTAAATACTCAATCTAATTAAATAAATACCATCTCCTAGATAATTAAAAATATATATATTTTTAATCCTTAAGGTATAGGGAAAATGTAAGTTTAGTTTCTAATTATTATGAATTATAAATTTAGTTGTTAATTAGTTACAGAAAGGATTATTTTCATCATTCAAGGATATATTAAAGACGTACTAAAAATGTAACTTTCATATGCAGTTATTTTGATCATTGAAAATAGAAAAATAGTCAATTTGTAACTAATTAAGGGCTAAATTTGTAACTTATTATAATTAATGTCTTAATTTATACTTACATTATAGCTTAATTAAGAACCAAAAATATAATTTTCTCATAATTAAATTAGCTTCAAAGGCCAATTTTGAGTTATGAACCACATCAATGAATTTATTTCATATTTAGTCACACACTCAATTATAATGACAGTTTTATTTTTAGTTTTTGACTTTAATTGATTTCACATTTAGTCCAAAATATTAAAAAAAAAACAAATATCATCAATTAGTAAATTTGTATCATATTTATATCTTACGACATTTTAAATATTTTTAAACTAATAATAAAATTAAAAGAATTAAAAGTGAAATAAATTAATGTCGAATGACCAAAAGTAGGGGTGTTAGCGAGCAGAGCTTTCGGCAAACTACTCGTGTTCGTGTTCGGTAAGCGTTCGTTTATGTTCGTTTGTTAAGGTAAACGAACATTAACAAACAAAATTTAGAGCTCGGTTAATAAACGAACAGAGCTTGAACAGTTGTACGCTCGTTTGTTAAAAGATCGTGAACAAGCTCGTTTGTGTTCGTTTACTAATGTTCGTGAACAAGCTCGTTTATGTTCGTTTAATAATGTTTGTGAACAAGCTCGTTTGTGTTCGTTTAATATTGTTCGCGAACATGTTCACAAACATATATATTATATCATATTATATTAGTTTTGTAGTTGTGTTGTTTGTTTGATTATTGTTCGTGAACGTAGATTATTTATTGTTCACGAACGAATTGTGATCATGAACATGTGCAGGTGTTTGTTTATTAAGTGTTCATGAACGTAAATAAATATGTTCGTGAATGTGCTTGTTAATGAACATGTTTGTGAACGTGTTTGTTAATGTTAACGAACACGTTTGCGAACGTGTTCACGAACATTAACAAACACGTTCGCGAACATGTTCGTTAACGTTAACGAACACGTTCGTGAACGTGTTCGCGAACGTTAACGAACACTAACAAACGCTTAACAAATGAACACGAACAGAATTTTCAAAAACCTTAACAAACGAACACGAACACGAACACTCCAAATTTCTTAACAAACGAACACGAACAACCTCCGTTCGTTTATGTTCGGTTCGTTAACCGCCCTAACCAAAAGTAACGTGATTATAACTAAGGAATAATACAAAACAAAATACTCTTTTAAAGTCATTGCCGGAGTCAATGTGGGACCTCTTATGTTATAAAAACCAATAGCAATTTTCGTGAAATAAATACCTTTTTCGACCAAAAGTTTAAATACCCAATCCCATCCTCACATCCCAGCCTAATAGAACATTTGGTGCGCACAAAGAATCTACCCATAATGTACCCAGACTGTCATTATCGAACTTCGAACATTACTTTGTTTTTTTAAATATTGTCTACTAAATCAGTGAGTTAAGTCCGTTTTGTAAAAAATAATTGAGAAGGGATGAAATTCAAATTTCAATTCATCAAAAAAGGGATGAAATTCAAATTTCAATTCATCAAAAAAGTTACTGGAAAAATTAATTTTATTGTTTGGTTGGTAGAATAATCTGACCCCACATAAAGATAGAATGGTTGATGGTTTTGAAGTCTGCGTATATATAAAGGAGAGGTAAATGTGATAGATGAACCATTATCGCATCTCCACTCCTACATTAAGTTAGCTTAATTTGGGGGGTGCCAATCCAAAATGTCGCAGTTTGATATGTATGCGTACGATCCAGACCAGCATCGCTTGCAGCAGGGGCAACAGCAACCTCGTAAGAAATCGAAACTGGCGTTGCTGTTGTTGGTTTCGAGAGTTACGACGTTTGTTTCTCTGGCTATATCCATCGTCATCCTCAAGAACAGCACCAAGACTTACCCCGGCAAGGTCACCTTCTACGGCGAGACTTACGACAATGGATACAGAATCAAATACTCCGACTACAACTCTTATAAGTAAACCATCTATATCTTCAAAAACATAAACATAGGGTTTAAGGAGTAGGCCAGAGGAAACCTATCAAGTTGATCAAACTGTTTGATTTGATAACCACAAGGTTACAAATTTCGATTCCCAGTACGAGCGGCCTATTGACTGGCCTCTTGATTTGGTTTGAGCCGGTCAGTAATCAACAACTTGATGGTTTTTATCAATTAGGGGGGTTATAAAGCGGGATTTATCCCTATACACCCTCAAATAGTGATTGCGAGTTTTCTATCGTCCAAAATATATATAATTCTATATTGTTGGTGGCTGCAGGTACATGATGTTTATCATGGTAATAGGATGCGTGTACAATCTGCTGCAAATTCCTCTGGCACTCTACTACTTCCTCAGACACAACCATCTAATAAACCACCGTCGCTTTGTTCTCTTCCAATTTTTTGCTGACCAGGTAAGCAGGCTAGTATATTTGCCGATCAGTATGGTAACTTTTTATATCTGTATTATATTATATCTCAAAATGAATAGTAAATGTATTGAGGGTGTGTTTGGTTCACGGATTCCCATATGCGAACCAAACATACACCCTAAGTTTGTAAGGGTTATTGTGGGGGCAATGTCCACACGGTATCTAGTACAAACTCAATATATTTATAAAACTGTAAAGTTATGCACCTGATACAAGAGACCTTGTATCAAGTTAAAATACGGGGAACCAGCCAAGTTAGTTAAATTATTGACACCATAAGGTTACAAGTTTAGCAAGAGTGGCGCAACAACCTAAATTGATTTTCCTCTTTATAGTCTTTGACGGTTGGGGTCACTTTTGTCAAACTACGAGGTGTCCTGAGCAGGCGCTAACGCTAGGAGACATCTTTAAACAAACATACTTTCTCAATCGTTGAGGCTCGATCTCATGACCTCATATATGGGAGAGGTCACTGTACTACATGTCATTTGAGCACAAAGTGCTTGGCAGGGTAGATGATTTAATTATATTATTAATAAGAATAATTATTAAGATTTGATTTTGTAGGTGACAATGGCACTACTAGCAACGGCATTAGGTGCAACCTTTGGTGCAACGGTGGATTTGGATAAGGGTGTTCGGAGAAAGGAGAAAGTAGAGAAAAATCTTCATCACTTTTGGCGTCTCGTTTATTTGCCAATCACATTTTTTCTCATTGCTTTCGTAGCCTCTATTATTTCTTCCATCATCACATCTATAACAACTCTCACCAATATCAAAACTGATAATAAATAGATGCCCATGGATCTGAGTTGCCTCAATGGTTAGTGGGTGTGGTGACAGCAGTCTCAAGTTGACCGTAAATCAGACTCAAAGTTAGTTCTTTTTTTTTTTTTTTTTTTTTTTTTTTTAAATTGTGACATGAAACAGTCAAGTGGGACGTTTGCGATGAGGCGTTAAAATAAAAAAAGATCGAGTGATAAATAGATGGATATGTGTGTGTGATTATGTATTTTTGCTTATATTGTAAAAGAGTTAAATGTATTTCAATTAAGCTAGATATGCATGTTAATTGATGAAACTTTGTGAGTACCTTTTTTTTTAATGACAAATAAATAATGCTATTAGTGTTATGCAAATTTTGTATTTTTAGATCTAAAATTGTAGCAATATAGTTTTTTTTTTTTTTTGGATGATGATGGAAATCTGTTGTAACTGCTATCTTAGGATGTACGTTACGTAAACTCTAATCTTGTGTAATAACATGTAAATTAATAAATATAATCAATAAAGTACAAATCAAATTACATCATAGTTTATTTCAGAAAAAAAAAAAAAAAAAAAAAAAAAAAAAAAAAAAAGACATCATAGTTAATTTGTGACGATGTTATTTAATAATTAGTAAACGATATATAAAATCTATATAATTAGACATTGAAAATACTATATGAAAAAAAAAATCTAAGTTTGTTTGTATTGTGATAATTATACCCAAACCTTTGTATTTTATAATTATAATATCCAATCCAAGAACTCTTAGCTTAGTGACGAAGGTGCAGTGACTGGAGACTATTAGACAATTGCCAGATTCAATTGCCAAAACCCAAATATGGTTGATAACCGACTATTAGATCTAAATGTACAAAAATGACAAAGTTATTGTGTTTAACTATAACTTTATAAAATTTAGGGTTTAATTATTTTTTCAGATAAAGTTTAAGGCTTATTTGCCTTTTCTCAAAATTTTAAAATTGAAATCTTTAGAAAAAAAAATTACATATATAAAATAAGTTCAAATATTATAGCCACTAGTAATGCTTAAATTATGGGAATTAAATTATTTTAAAGGTTAAATCCTATCAAGACTATATGGTCTAATGGTATTCGGGTTGTGATTTCGAGTCTTAGTGGAGGAGTTATTGGTTTTTTGTATTTAAGTAGGTTGAGAAAGTATATGAACAGATACTACAATGTAATAGAGCCCGTAGCATTAAAAAAAAAAAGGTTAAACCCTATATAAGATATATTTTTTTTATTCCCTCGATAATTTGTAAGTACCTCTTTTAGGTGAGACAACCAAGGATCGAACCCTTGACCTTTGGTTAAAGATTGATGAATCCGGCCCCTTCCACTCAACTACAGACAATAAGCCTATATTGTAATACATTATACTATATGATTTATAACTTACAAAGGAAGCTGTGTAAATATAAACGGAGTATATACCTATCATCTGTGTAACAATAATTAGAGCATTGAAAAGGTCCTGCATACTTTTCTTTGTTTCTCCAGCCAATTCAATGACTACAACCTCTTATCTTATATTAGAAAAGTCAATAAATATCGGCACGGGCTTAGCTTAAATCTCAATAGTTTAGTATACAATATTTGTGATAAGAGATCAATATTTAGAATTTGATAATGGCAATATGCATATTATATCCAAAGTTAGTAGATCTGTTGTGCACACGGGCATTTGACTTTGTCTAAGCCATTGAATCACAGTGAAAAAAATCTGACAATCACAATAATCTGATAGTTTTATTCAGTATTATAGATCTATTGTGGGCTATATCAGGAATGACCAAGATGTGGTAAAACTCACCGGAAGTACCACTTCTCTGTCAAACCGAGAAGTTAACCAACAAGGTGGAATTTCTTCCACCTTGTTGGTTAACTTCTCGGTTTGACGTAGAAGTGGTACTTATGTCGGGAATAATTGAGAAGTGGTACTTTTGGTGAGTTTTCATAAATTAGGTCGTCGGAATAATTAAATCTGAGAAAAGAAAAGAAACAAAAAATAAATTTGAGCACTATTTATGTCAAAAATAAAAACTGTGAACTCAAATTAACATAGGCTCGAAAAGCATAGGAGTAAAAGAGGGAAAAAAATCTTATCAGAATTGAAAAATGTATGGCAAGCTTCTTGAACAAGTCGTCCACCTAGGACCAAGTACGTACTTGTATAAGAAAAATCAACAACAATAATGTTTGTTTTCAAAAAAAAAAAAAAAACAATAATGTTAATTAATTTTGGTTGGAATATTAGCTCGAATTGAGTTGACTGACTGCGTCAACTGTATGTATATGTGGAATATTTGGAATTTAGAAGACGTGGGAGAAGAAATTTCAATCATTTGCCTTCACGAGGGAATATTTATGTTGTATAATTTAAACTCGTTAAAAAAATAAATTTTATTTACATTAGGACAAAAATATATATCTCTTTTCAATATGGGCTTCTTAAACTCAATTGAAACACTTCAAAATCAATTTTATCTTTCCGTCATTATCTATTTTGAATGTATGATATATCAAACTCTTCCTCTCAACGAGGAGAATTCAAATTAACTTTGATCTGATCCAAATTGAAAATAGACCTCACTCAAATTAATACTTCAAAATGTCATTTCGGCTAATTTTTCAAAAAACTTATAAAGTCATCTATGTATATTTAATTAAAAAAATATATGGTAATTTTACTTTCACTAAATTCTCGAATAAATGTCATGTCAAAAAGATAATAATGTTAAAAAGATGTTGTCCCAAAATGAATGAGCCAAGGGTGAAACATGATTATGATACCGGAAGGTCTGCACTAATTTAATTTTCAATCACACCCTCGAACAGGCAATAACATACATATATATATATATATATATATATATATATATATATATATATATATATATATATATATAATACTGGTCATGCAAATGGCTTGTCTGGGAATCCATTGTAAGTTGACCCAACAACCTCCACATAAATGATGGAATACTTCATGTATAAAGGACCGGAGCTCATCAACGCAATATAATCACCCAATTCAAGATTAGCTTATTCGTCATCGTCTAGATTACGATCTTGGGACTGTGTGAACCGAAAATGCCACAGTTTGATACATACGCGTACGATGAAGGACGACAGCATCATCAGCAGCAAGAAGAACCTCATCGTAAGAAATCGAAAATGGCGTTGCTGTTGTTAGTGTCCAGAGTTGTGACCTCGGTTGCGCTCCTTGTTTCCATCGCTTTAATGCTGACCACCAAAAAGACTTACCAACAATATAGAATCCGCTATGATGACTATCATTCTTACAGGTATATTATCATGCATCTTCCCCTCCTTTTTTTTTCTTTTTTTTTGAGTAATGAGAAAAATTCATAACCATTATTAAACGATGTGTACTTATAAACCTGTCTAAGTCACTTAAAGCTGATCGGCTTAAACTAAGAGGTCAATAGACAATTAACTAGCTGATCAGTTCAAATCAAGATCAGAGGCTCATAAATCTAACACTAATTAATTTGTTGCAGGTACACGTTCTACGTGATGATAATAGGATTTGTGTACAATCTGCTCCAAATCCCTCTTGCTATATACTTCTTCTTCAGAGGGGAGCTTCTAATACGTTACACCCGCTTTGTTAAGTTCCAATTTTATGCTGATAAGGTAAGGCCTCCATCTACACACCCCCAAAACCAAGGGAAACTAGTAATTATTGTTGCCTATAACTGACCAACTCAAATTAAAAAAAATCAATAAATCACTTGTAGTTACCAAATCAATAACCTGACTAACTTGTCAGTATGGGTATAAATAGGTATAATTATTAAGGTTTGATTTTGTACAACGTAGGTGATGGTGGTGTTACTAGCAGCAGCAGTGGGCGCAACATTCGGTGCGACCTCGGATATGGATAAGCATGTAAGGAATGAGAGTGAATTGGAGCATAGACTTCATGATTACTGGAGTCTTATGTATCTTCCAGCCACCATTCTTCTCGTTGGCTTCGTATCTTCTGTCATTTCTGCAGTTGTCTCTTCTGAAACTACTCTTTCCAAGACCCAACACTCATAGTTTACAACACTACGTAGTATTGTATCTGAGAGAGTACGTTTTGCTCATGTAGTATTCACGAACACTTCCGAGGTTGTTTGATATATATTTTCAATTATTGATGGTTTTGTGGTTTAAGATGAGAAGATATTATAAGTTTAATTTCAACCTTTATTTGATTTTGAATTTATTGAAATATGTATGTGACTTTAATTTGACTAGTGTATGTTACAGTATGTATTTGAGTCACAAGTAATGATTAACTAGTAATTTGTCTATTTTCCCAAACAAAAACATCATTTATCCATAAATGGATGGATCATATATAGGAGTATATATACAATATAATAAATAGATGTCACCATACACAAAGCCCAAAATGAAAAACACAATAATAATCCAAGTTTCTATTCAAAAATGGCCCAAAACCAACATGATGAGAAACTCAAGCCATACATGTCTTGAACTCTTGACGTGATGACTAGGGTTAGTTATTCTCGCTGATAAATAGGGGTGTCAACGTCGGTTGACTTATTCTATGGTATGTTGAAAATATTGAATACTTTGGTATATTAACTTACATATCAATATTTTTAGGCCTTAACCCTCTTCCATGTAGGTTGATGGATCTCGCACGTCAATCAGCTTTCAAGTTAGTTAATAATAAGTTTTTTTTTTTTTTAAAGAAAGTTCTTTGTACTACTAATAAAAATAAACATATTCCACATGTACCCCATATGACTTCTTAAACAATAAATAAATATATTTGAAAGTTCCAAGTGCAAAATTAAAGAAAACAACATTAACACATGATTCAATATCCATATTCAACACAACTATACAATTTGTTGTCTTAAGAATAATATTTGAATGTACCATGGAAAAAGTAGACTAAATTAGAGCATCTTTTCCACCACCATCAATCCATCATCATCTATACATCAATTAAGAAGACTAATATCAAAGAAGAAGTGGTTTGGAAGGAGAGAGATAGGAGAGTATATATATTATATATAGTTAACTTGGATAAAATTTTATTTTAAAAAATTAAATTGTTAGCCTATGGGCCAAAAAATTATATGCCCAAATTCATCCCAAAGCAGGGCATTTCATAATGGCCGACCCCTCCTCATATTAGTCCACTTTGACACTCTTATCCGTTTGGGAGGTCCACATTACAAGTTATCACTAAAAGTACTCTTTAACAATTGCTAGCAAGATTATTTATGGGTAGTAGTGGAAAAGATTTTAGGGACAAGATTCAAATAATGTTTAAGGGGATAATATTTTATTATAATACAATGAATAAGTTTTAACTCATAGACTTGTCCTCGGTGAAATTCATTATTCATTAGTTGTTAAAGAAAAAATGGTTCCATCCTAAAAGTTAATTAAAAAAAGGTTCAGTTTGTTGTATGTGCTTAAATCTAGGCCAACTATGTCAAAGAAGCTAGTTGCATGTATACAAGTTGTTAGGAACATAAGCACAAGAAAGAAGAAACAGCCTATACTTACATGTCTGTATTCATCTTATCAAACAACGTCAGTAAGGATGTGAGCGTTTGTACGTGTGTGTTTGTCATTATGCATTCTCCATATAATTATTGCAAAAAATTCAAACAATTGAGAATATTCTTAATCATTTAGATATATTTTGTAAGTAACATTTTTCAAAATGACAAAAGAACAATGCTACAACGTAACATTATGCAAATTTTAATTTGTGTTTTGATACAGACAACTATTCAATCCGGCACCGGCCGCCGGCGAACCAGTTAAGTCCATGCTTGGAAAGTCAAGGTCGACATAATCATCGTACAGACAAATGGATCGTCTAGGAATTCACAAAAAATGGACCCCACCATCTAAACATTGAATGCATATATATAAAGATTCAAACTTGATAATAAAACCATATCTGCAGCTCCAGATCAATCGAGACGTTTAATTTGGCGGTGTGAAGGAAGTTATTGAGATCCAATAATGTCGGAGTTTGATAGGTATATATGGGATGAGGAACAGAAGCAGCAGCAACCTCGTAAGAAATCGAAACTGGCGTTGGTGTTGTTGGTTTCGAGAGTGACGACGTTGGTTTCTCTGGCTATCTCCATCGTTATCCTCAAGAATAGCGGCAAGACTTACACCGGCACGGTCACCTACGACGGCAACACTTACGAAAATGGATACAGAATCACCTACTCTAACTATACCTCTTATGAGTACGTATAAACCATCTCATCTCATCTTCACTCTCATCTGCTCATGCATGCATCCATCCATATATAATCCCAATCTTTCAAATTTGACTACTCATAGTGAGCAGAACTATTGATCTTTTTTGTTTGAACTAGTAAACTGCGAACAATCTAGGTTGATTTATCTCTTGTAATCCTTTAATTTGCCTACTAGAATCATAAGGCGAGATATTTGGATATTCTCTATTTTCAAACAAAAACGAAAATTAGAGAATAATCCCAAGGCATTGGTCAAGTGAATGAGAGGCTCACTTAAGACTACTTCCAACTTTAGAGTGTGGGTTTAATTCTTACCATGAATATTAGTGGATTAGGTTGTGTTCATTGTGCACAGAAGTGTAAAGTTTCCTATTGAGGCTCAACCGGATTGACTTAATTTATCTTTTCATGAACCTTAGGACAGGTTTATGAATTCAGAATATATAATCCTGCAAAGTCGAAAAACTGGGCTAAAAAAAAAAAAAAGTAATTCTATATGGTAAAATAACAAAAATAGTACTTGTACTCTCAAACTCTAATTACAACTTTTACTCCTCTCATAATTATTGAATATAAATAACTTTTTTCCCGATGAACCCACAGGATAAAAATGTCCCACATCAGGGAGAAGCCCGGCCCCCTAGTAGATCAGAACTCATAAAGTAATAATGTTGCAGGTACATGATGTTTATCATGGTAGTAGGATGCGTGTACAATCTGCTGCAAATTCCATTGGCAATCTACTACTTCCTTAGAGACAAGCATCTAATAAACAACCGTCGCTTTGTTCTCTTCCAATTTTTTGCTGACCAGGTAATTAAGTAATTAAGTCATTCGGAGATCAGAACATATATTTTTTTTCAACAAATTCTAAAGTATTGATTAGAATCATTTGATTTTGTAGGTGATAATGGCACTACTAGCAACAGCATTGGGTGCAGCCTTTGGTGCAACGGTGGATTTGGATAAGGGTGTCCGGAATAAGGAGAAAGTAGAGAAAAATCTTCATCGCTATTGGCGTTTTATGTATCTGCCGGCCATCTTTTTCCTCATTGGCTTCATTACCTCTATCATTTCTTCAATTACCACATCTATCACAACTCTTGTATCCACTGAAATGTGATACTAAATGTCAGTGATCGAGACGATAGAGTATTTTAAAAGTTAGGAGTTTGATTTTTATTAATTTTCTTAGTTAAATTTATTGCACACAAATATGAAGAATCTTAGTGTATTTTTGCAAATGAAACTCATTATTTATAAGAAAGAATGAAGATTCTTTTTTTTTTTTTCATATAGAAAAGTTAGAAAATTAAAAATTAGCTTGTTTTTAATTTTCAAAATGGAAAACTAAGCTACTAAACAGGAGCATATCCAGTAGGCTCATACACGACAAATTATTGTGTAGACCGTGGACCATAATAAAAAGTATATTTTTAATATACTAAATGTATATTATATAATATAATATACATTCAGTACAAAAATAATGTACATCCCTTGAATTTAATCTACATTATTTTACAATATACAAAATATAATGCATACAAATGGTCCACACAATAATAATTGCTCATCCACTGCACGTGCCCGTTCCGTGCCTACGGTAGCCGCCACCTTAACAATATTTTCTTTATTCTTTTTTTTTTTTTTAAATGACTCTCATTCCTCTCTTTCCTTGTTAGGAGGACAAAAAAAATTAGCAAAAAATTCAAACAATTAGGAATGCTCTTAATCATTTAGATATTATTTTATAAGTAATATTTTTAATTTCAAAAATGACAAAAGAATAATGCTAACAAGTAACAACAACAATACAACATTATGCAAATTTTGTGTTTTGATACAGACAGCTATTAGTATATATCCGATCCGGCACCGGCCGCCGGCCTACAAATTCTCGACATAATCATCGTACAGACAAATGGGCCACCTAGGAATTCACAAAAAAATGGGCCCCACCATCTAAACAATGAATGCGTATAAAGATTGAAACTTGATAAACCATATATCTGCAGCTCCTGATCGAGTTAAATTAGCTTAAACGACGTTTAATATAATTTGGCGGTGTGAAGTTATATATTCATCAGAATAATGTCGGAGTTTGATAGGTATATATGGGATCAGGAACAGAAGCAGCAGGAACCTGGTAAGAAATCGAAAGCGGGGTTGGTGTTGTTGGTTTCGAGAGTGACGACGTTGGTTTCTCTGGCTATATTCATCGTTATCCTCAAGAATAGCGGCAAGACTTACTCCGGCACGGTCACCCACGACGGCAAGACTTACGGAAATGGATACATAATCAGCTATAGATTTTATAAGTACGTAAACCATATCATCTTCACTCTGCGCATGCATGCATCCATATATAATCTCAACATCTATAATTAGATTTGGTAATAACCACAAGCTAAGGTTACAGCAAGTTCAACTTTTAGTATAAGCAGTCTATTTGTCTTCTTGGTTTTTAGTTAATTTTAAAAAATTTAGAACCCTAGGATAGTAACTGCAAATTCTCCTAGTTATCCAAACAAAGCATCTATATTTCCATGCAAAATGAAAAATAGGAAGTAGTCTCATGACATTAGTCTAGTGGATGAGATTCTTCACTCAACACTTGTTTTTAACAGCAGGGTTATTTGAGCTTCGATTCCTACATAGAACATTGGAAATTTGGCACGGGTTGGGTTGGGCTCCAATAAGTTTAGTGTTAAGCTTCGAAGTTAGATTGACTTAATTTACCTTCTCAAAGATTTTAGAATATGTTCATGGGTCCTTAATATAATAACAAAGTCGGGAAATCTGGGTTATAAAAAAAAAAAAAATGAGTAATTATATATGGTAAAATAATGCATATAATTTGTTTCAGGTACATAATAATTATTATGATAGTAGGATCCTTTCACGGGTTGAACCCCTCATTTGAAGTTATTTCTTATTTTACCTTTCTTTTGGCTTTTACCTTAAGTTATTAACACCATTAAATATATTAACGTGTATATATTTTGCTTTTTTAGTTGTATATTTATAAATTTTTTACAACTATATATTTCTTTATTCGTAATATACTGATTATATCTATTATGTTTATGTCTTTATGATGTTATTATGTTTTTTCATTAGGAAGCTATTTAATTTAATTGCATAATGCGTGATAATTTGGCTATCTAGAAATTATATAATAACATGACTAATTACTAACATTTTATTTTGTAGGTGATAATGCTACTACTAGCAATGGTATTTGGTGCAACCTATGGTGCTTTGGATAACGGTGTACGAAATAAGGAAAATATTAATCGCTATTGGCGTTTTATGTATTTGCAGCCAATCATCTTTTATCTCATTGGCTTCGTAACCATTTATGGTTTCATCGATAACCTCTATGCCAACTTTTGTGTCGAGTGTATTTTGACTTTTATTAATTTTCTTATTTAAATTCATTGCACACTATAGCGAAGCGCACAATTTTTGTATAGTCTTTAATTTAAAAATAAAAAATTACATACTGATAGTGTGTTTTTGCCAATGAAACTCATTATTTATAGTGGTGAATTGGAATGGAAGAACTTTTAATTCAAATAATCAAATAAATGAAATAATATATTTAAGATTCACATTTGTTTGAAACCGTCTCACAGATTTTAATCGGTGAGACAGGTCGAATCTAAGATAGTTGATTGTTACTTAAGATAGAATAAAAATAGTTATTACGGAAAATTTAATACCAATTTGAAATACATATAAACTATTACTTCTAATAGATATTGTAGTTTTTACATGTGAAATTGTGATACTATTTAGGGTTAAATTATTGTTACTAATGATAAATATTGTAATACTTATAACTGAAATTGTGATAATACGTATACACTCAGTTATTTACAACCCGACCTGTTTCATGGACAATGATTCCTGAGACAATCTCATACAAGTTTTTGCATATATTTAATAAGATTAATCATTGTATATTAACCTACAAACTACACAATAAATAAGGTGTATTGTTGACAAGAACCAAACTTATTAATCTTCTCATATGAGAATCATGTTCCATTCACTTGGCAACCCGCTCTGAACATTATATTAAAAATATTTGATTTCACATAACATTTACATTTGAAAATGGATTGATATCTTTTTTTTTTTTTTTTTTTGGAATAAATTGAAGACCTAAAAAACATTTAGGAAGAATACTAAATTTGGTTTTCAAGGTATAGGATAATACTATAGGTACTCGAACTTTATATTATATGCATTGTCACTTTAAGTCCCCAAATTGTTAGTGAAATAGTGCTTTCAGTCCAAATGGTTATGTCAACATTTACCTTTACTCTTATGAAACTTTATTTGAATAGGGAACCAACAAAGTTTCACTTCTTATTTCTTTTTCTTCTTTTTTTTTTTCTTCAAATTGTAATACTCTAAGGCTTTAAATAAATTTAAAAAAAAAAAAAAAAAAAAAAAAAAAAAAAAAAAAAAGACATAGAGTACTGGTCTTCGTTACAATGATTTTTAAATTTTTTTCATAAGCCTAGAGTATATAATGGAGGTTAATGATCTAGAGTATATATTTGAAGAGAGAATAAATTAAAGAGCAAGCATGTGATTGTATAGCCTTCCAAGCCAATAAATAAAGGCTATTTAAAGTGGACCTAAGTTAAAATCATTATTGTTGTTGTAAAAAAAATGGAATTTGACTAGAATTCCATATATGTTGTCATGCACTTTGCAATCTTTTTCATGGGAAAAGTAGTGAACCAGAGGACTGCACGCATGTTTTAATCAGAGTTTTGGAATACATCACATGCCTACAAGCTAAGTATTGTGCCTACAATAATGCTTCCACATTTGTCCGAAAAAAGGAAATATAATTTTCGTATATTAATATTTTATTGGTCAAAGCTGTTTTATATGATTTTTTATAATGCAATTTATTACCTAAAAAAAGTAGGGCTTACTTTGTGTATACTATCGAACCATCAAATAATATGTAATGGTAGATTTAATTTATCACTCAAAAAAAAAACATATCTTTTAATTTAGTATTAAAGTAAACAAAAAATCATTATGTGAATAGAGGTATATTTTACAATACTCGAAGTTACTTATGTATATCAAAAATATAATAGAACCGTGCCGATAACAACTACAACATAGTTTCATCATTCAGAAATAAATATTTTTTTCTATTAATTAATTGAGCACATACTCATTGTGCTTTCTATTTCTCTCTGGACTTTATTAAAACCGACAAAACATACACTAACTGAAAACTTTATGATTAAGTTGATGATGAAATGTTTAGACAAGACGTACTATGTCATCCATGGTGTAAATTATGTCGGTGCTCCATGGCGGACACAGATTCGTGCGCTTGTGAATGCTCATGAAAAATGAAGACTTTGTAGTGTTGAAAGCAAGTCAAATAATCACTTAGTACAATGTGAATATTCATCAATTATAAATTATTAAAACCAAGTAACCAGCATTCATGTAATTGAGTTTACATTAATTTTTTTAATTTATTTGAGTATAATATTTCTAAGTTCAAATTTTTCCTCATATATTATTGTTCTCGATTGAATATTAGGGGTAGTATATTAGGCCAATCAACCCAATAAGCTCAAATACAAGAAAGTATATTTTGATTGACGAGAAAGTCGGCAATTGGTACCCAAAAGTACTTGTGATCCTAGCTGGTAAATGACTATAAGAAAGTAAATTAACGTAATTAAATTGCTCATAGCTGATAGATAACTCCTACAAAGAGTCAAATTTAAAACTTTATGGTTCCCAAGCTAACTGCCCGACTAACTTGATAGGGACTACCACTAACACGTGACTGGTCAACTTTTTAAGAACTTGTGTGATGAGGTCATTGTTAAACAACAATTAGGGTGTGTTTTGAAAAGCAGGAAAATGACTTCTGAAAAATGACTCATTTTTCAGAAAACATTTTCATTTTCCGTATTTGGTTGCATTCCAGACAACTATTTTTGTGTGTTTTGGTTCATTTTCTGAAAAATGAGCACAATTATCTTCAACTAGACTACCTGCATTCCAATGTTATCAGCTTTACCAGAGTTATCGTTTCACAACCAAAAAAAATGAACACAAAAATTAGAGCATAGATGGAAGTGAACTAGCCATCCAATCTAGGCCTAAAATCACCATTTTCCGACAACTTTTGCTTGCAGGCCCGGCACGTAATTTCCAGCATTATAGCACTGATCTTCTCCGCCGCTTGCTCCTTCAAAACCTGAGCTTTCTCCAGTTCCGCCTTAGCCGCCAGTCTAATCCTCTTGGCGCTGGCGAATTCCAGCTCCGCCAGCTCCGTCTGCCTTCTCGCATCTTGCCTCGTCTCCTCCGCGTACGACTTCTCAGCCATCGCCATTTTCATTTCCTCGCTCGCCACCGCGCCGCTCTTCTGCCCCGCGCTGCACGACCCGATCGACAGGTTCAACCCGGCGCCGTCATCTTCCGGCGGCGGAAACGCCGGGGAGGATGGCAAGAGCTGGAGCTCCAGGCCGCTGTAGTGTTTTTTGTGATAGTGCTCGTCGCTTGGCGGCTCTGCAGGGGGAGGAATCGTTAGCGGTGGCGGCACCGCCGTGCTGAAATTTGCGTCGCTTGAAGGGCTGGTGGCTGAGGGCTGTGTATCAGTCCCATTGTTTCGTTTAGCTGCGCATGCATCTTGGTGCTCTATAAAACTCTCCACCCTAATTAAGCATGATAACAGTGTAAGATTTTCCATAATAATATATATTGTATATTATATACTGGGCCTTAATTAAGTGGCGCAACTAGGCTTATTAAGTGGTCTGTTGGACTTAATAATTAGTGGTTGTTAGTCCATTAAACTCTGTGCCTAATATAAACCTGTATTGATGGGATACAGGTTCATGGATTAGATAGCACATTCAGTTACGATACTCAGACTGCTCAGTAGATACCAATACACCATCTAGGGTTCTGAGTCAGGTCTGAGACAAAACATAGCTAACGGTCTACCGTTAAGAGGCAAACACAACAACATCAACTATAACTGGAGATATACATGGCTACGCTTCCGATATCATACGAGGTAAAGTTTCTCGTATACTATAATTTATTATAGTTAGATTATTTAGATCTAACAAACAGAGTCAATAGTACTATAAAAAAAACAATTGATTGAATGGAGTCAAAGCAAAAAGTAAGAAATTTGACACAAAAATGGTGGTCCAAGAACAGGGCGGGGACAAAAGAGAACCTGGAAAAAACACGGCCGCAGTCGCAAGAATGGCCGCGAGTCCCACACGTCTTGAGATGGGCCTTATAATCCGACTGGACGGCGTAGCCTTTGGAGCACTTATCGCACACCCACTGCTTGCTATTACTGTGCTTTCGCCGGTAGTGTTTCTTTATCCCCACCAGATCCCCCAGCGCGTGCCGCGCATCGTGGTGCAGGCAGCTCGCCTCCGGGCACACATACACCCTCTTCTTCCCCGCCCCCGCCGCCGCCGCCCCCCGCTTCGACGCCTTCCACGGCACCTTGTGCCGCCGCCGGTGCATCTGCAGATTCTGCTCCCGCTGGAACCCCTGCCCGCAAAACTCGCACACGTATCTGTCCGACTCCAGCAGCGTCTTCGGCGACAGCGACACCACTTCCGCATCCGGATCTGCATTACACGGCGTCGTTAATTAAACCCACAATTCTCAGGAAAAAATCATAATATCAAATTACCCGGAGTCCCAGCCGGCCTCCGCTTCCGTTTGGGGATAGAAACGGAAACCCCATTCTGCGGCGCCGGCGCCGGAGAAGTCAAAGCTGCTTCGGAGGAAGAAGAAGGGCCGGGCGTCGCCTCATTGGTAGCATTAACGTTGTTGTCCAACATGGGATGATTCTATTGGGAAGTGTGATGATGAAGCAAAACACACCCACCCTGGAGGTTTGAAAATGGAGGTGTTAAAGGCAGATTTCAGGGAAAGGATTTGCAGAGAGGGGGAAATGGGGAATGGGTTGGGTGAAAGGGGGAAACAGAGTCGCTATTTGTGCCAACCAGCTTTTATCTTTTAGTGCCTTTTATGCTTTATGCTCTTTTCTCTCTACTTTCTCATTTTTGTTTCTTTTAGCCAAACCTTAACAACGTTTTTGGTTTATCTACGTGACTATGTCTTACGTTTATAACAATGTTGTGTCATTTGTGATTATCTATAACTTTTTATATTCTCAAAATTAAAAATCAAATTATTCCTTTTTTTTTTTAATCTTGTGTTTTACTCTATGTGACTTGACAAAGTTAATACATCTATTGACGGATAATTTCTTAATATTGTTTCAACGCATATCAAGTGAGACAATAGGATAAGAAATACAAACTGCATTATCCATATCAAAGTATTATAAGAGCAAGCAATCACATTAGTATTTTTTTTTTAATTCTTTTTGTGTAAAGAAAACAAAAATAAAGCCTTTGCAAATCAGAGTTTTTTATGAGCCCCATAAGAGATGCATCTTATGCACTGTCGTGCTCATTGCATGCACCATGTTGAACGCATAAAAAGGTCTCTTTTTTCAGACTTATTTTTTCTATCTATTTTTTGTTTCCTTAACTTGTTCTCCCCCCTTTCTCACTTCAAGTGTACATACAAAAATCAAGGAAAAAAACCAAACACATGATGTCTATTGTCTAGTGAGGGTATTTCTCCGTTATATCATTATCTAATATCTATGTACATGGCATATCCTATATTCTCATTATAAGTATCATTTAACCAAATATATGTGAATCTCACATAATTTAATAAAAAACAAATTATACTCTGTATTATATAATATTTATAATAAAAATAAAAATTAAAAAAAACATGGGCGGGGATGGAGAGTGTAAGAAAATGTTAGTGGTGAACAGTTGTATCCCATTATTAAGTGGCTAGCGTTGCACATGCCCACTAGACATATATTGTAACTTCACGTGACACTTTTTTCTTTACCAAGTCAAAATTAAATATTCCACCTTGATATGACCCAAGTAGATCATGGAACAAATAAGAATTATAAGATTATCCATGCATGAACGTTCTCAATTCAATGGTATGGAGTAAATTATTAATTGTAGTTGCATGAATCTCTTTTTAGTTTTGAATCCAATTGGGTTTCCGTTGCAATCCATGACAGCTTTAAGAATTCACGAGCAATCTTCAATGTAGCATGTCTAGCTACGCCTCCTAAGAAGAATACGAAATCAAACTCCAAATAATAATTCTAAAGGGTTGAAGAATGTAAGAAGTTAATCAAGGATTAACACATATACTTTTGGTGTAAAAGTGAGGCTTGAAAATAATTCAAAAGAATTCATGAAATCAAGACTGAAGAATAAATGGATGTCAAACCATATTGAATAGGGTTATGGTTTGGTCATACACACTTGCTTAAAAAGCAAGTTGCATAATTTCCTAATCTACGTCTAAATAATTTGGAAAGCAATAAAGATAATTAGTTTAAGAAACAAGATTGAAGATCTTCTTTCCTAGGAAGATAATTACCCAAATTTAACAAAAACACAATTAAAATAATCTTTAAGCTGTTGGTCTTCATTTGGCTTTGGACTTCCATTTAATTTCCACCATATCTGCACATGTCCAATAAAGAGTTATCTTAGCTTATTGGACTTGAATCTTGTTATGGGTCCAAGTGGCACTTGCAATGGATCCATAGGTTGATATGTATCACGTCTTCTCGTTGTGCGCAGTGAGCACCGGTCTAGCCTCTGTGGTTTATGTTCAGTTGAGTCACCATGATTTACATCCTCCCAAATGCTCTGTTGGGCTGGGGTGTGGGGGGCCCTTAGGGTTGGGGTTCAGCCTTTTGGAAGAATGTAAGTATTTTTTTTATTTATATGACATCGCTAATATCCCACATTGTGAATATTCCAAAAAAAATGTATAACTTCACAAGTTTATAAAGTAAAATGCAAACCAAACAAACTCACACAATATAAAATAATTTTCAAAAAATTGGAACTAAGAAATACCAAATCCTTACATACATATAAACCAACCAACCTAGGAGAGGCAAAGGAAAAGTATTCCTCTTTTACACACAAACATTTACTAAAAGTGGCTGGAAAGAAGCCACACCGGCCAGTCCCAATATCCATAACCTACAAAGCACATGCAAAGGGTTGGGAATCTCTTATAAGTATCAACCAAAGTTTGCAACTTTGCACATTGCCAACTTGACTATTATATTTAATTACAAAATATATTCTTGATTTTCTTCGTATAAAAATATAAACACGTGTAATAAGTGATAATGACATTGAGAAATGGTTCGATAAGTTGAGGTAAATAACAGGTAGACGAAGCTGAAAGAAAACATATAGTAGCCCGCATGGACAGCTCAATTGGTCATAGAGGTGAAGTTTGGGAAGAAGGAAGAAAACATATAGTAATATTTAATTTTATTTATTTCACAATATATATATATATATATATATATATATATATATATATATATATATATATATATATATATAACTTTTATTTATGTATAACACATTAATTGTTGTCCCCACATTACAATTTCTGGAGATAGACCAAACAAACATTCTCCATAACAGGACAAAACTCTTCAGTCTTCACCCATGTATTCATGCAGCCACCGCCAGTCTCACACGTGATCTCACGCCCCCTCACGTGACCTTTCTATTTTTTTTTTATTTTGCCCCCATGGTGTAAATAAAGTTACTTTATTTTTTTATTTTTTTTGCGGTTAAAAAAGATTTTCGTTGACCAAACAGTACTTTTTTTTTTTAATGGCCGCAAAGTAAACATGATTATGCTTTGAAACAGCTTTTGTGAAAGCTTAGTGCAACCACCAATACTTTCTTTATTATCTCTCTTTTCGTACCTATATTATTCATTATTTAATATCAAACTTTCAATTTTTTACTTATAACACGTCATTTAAACGTAAACAATTTAACTTTTTAAGACAAACATTCTTATTTAAATTTTATAAAGTACAATAAGAGTCCATTTAAAAGTTCAAGAATTTTTTTCTAAAAAAAATTGTCTTTTTTATTTGGTTCAGATTCTAACAAATAAATAGAAATTTATTACAAAGTTATTGTTATAAAATTTTAATTAGTTAAAATTAATAAATGTAATCTTTTAATTAAAGAAATAAAAAAAAATTGGTAAATTTTAATTTTTAAAAATGGCCTCTGGGTCGAATTAGATCAAGATTTTTTACGATTTGACCTAGTTAAAACTAAACTTAATTATGCTAGTCCAATCCAGTCCAAATAGTTACTGGACAAATGGCAAGCTCATATGGCACCACACAAAGAGAGAGCTGAGTGTGAGAGATAAATTTGAAAAATATATTTTGAGTAAAATTTTTGGAAGATATATATTTTCTGTTGAAATAATTCTTTTTTTTTTCCTTTGACTATATAATGGATATTTTTCATTAACTTCATTTTACTTCTATAGACAAACAGAAAAACATTCACTCAAAAAAAACTTGTGAAAGCTATTTTTGGATTTTCAAATTGATCCTAAATTGTCTTGCAGTACATTTTTTGATGAGACTAAGTTGATCAGACTTTTAACAATGTTACAAGTTTGACGCTTTTGTATCGGTAGCGATCGACTTTATTTTGATTCATATATATTTTATTGGGAAAAGGGTCAAATAAGCCCTCAAACATTTGCTAAAGAGTCAATTAGCCCCTCCAACTTTTTAAAGGTGCAATTACACCCATAAACAATGCATTTTGATGCAATGAAACCCAAATACAGGTAAATGACCTGCTATCATAGGTCATTGAAGATCCGGCCATTTTTCGACGTATTTTTCGGCGTATTTACCAACGGTCGCCGGTCACTTGTTTGCCGGAAAATACGTCGGAAAATGGCCGGATCTTCAATGACCTATGATAGCAGGTCATTTACCTGTATTTAGACTTCATTGCATCAAAATGCATTATTTATGGGTGTAATTACACCCTTAAAAAGTTAAAGGGACTAATTGACTCTTTATCAAATGTTTGAGGGCCTATTTGACCCTTTTCTCAATTTTATTTGGTGCTTAAAAAAATAAAACTTATTAACTCCCAGAGTGGCAATTGAGGGGTTTGCATGCAAGAGCGCAAGACAATACAGTGTGTTGTCTATTGGTACGTCGTCCATAGCATTTTGTTTTGTGCAGAGGTTATATATGGTACAGAGACAAACATGCCCCGGCCCCTTCGCTTTATCCTATGTGCAAAAACATGCAATTTTGAATTTTCCTCACATATATCTTATCTGTTCTGCTGCACGTACTGTCTTAGTTTTTCTTCATTGTCTGCTCTTTCACGTTTTCTCCTCGGGACCCCACCATTTTCCCCTGTCGTCGACAAAAGATCATAATGAAATAAACCGATCTAATTTGTCTATAATTAAATTGACTGATTCAAATAAAAAAGGCTAATATAAAAAGTTGTATATTTTCGCTGGAAGTGAAACTTAATTGCGGCATTGTAACCTTATAATTATCATCAGTAAAACTAATTTGACTGAGATTGTTCTATCTTTTATATATTTAATATGAACATAAGGAACATTGAGCTTTCAATTCATCATTGTATGTGTGTACCTCACGACAAAAGCTAAACGCTAAACGAATCAAATTTGAAGGTATATATGTACCACGTACGTAGAGTGGTGTATGTCATGCATTGGACCAAATATATATATAGCGATATGTTTCATCTCCGAGCTGAGGTTGTCACCTGTTGGCTGTTTTGTTGGTATGCAGTAATAATATACATGGTCTTCCAACAGGTTAATTTCGACGAGTTTTGGTGAAAATTATTCACTGCTCGTTTGATGTGTTACGTTCTCTACCTGGAGATAATAATTGCAATATTAGTGGAAAGTTGGTTAGTCTAGTCGACACCACCTCAATCGGCACCCTTGCAAGACTTTAGAGGTTAGCTGGCAAGTGGCAACCATGCTCCAGTATATTTTTATGTGGACCATAGTCCATACAAAGTTATATAGGTTATAAAAAAAAATATATTTTTAATATATTAAAAGTACATTATATTATTTGAAAAAAGAGTTAAATATGCCTTCGAACTTTACCTTAAAAATCAATTAGACCCTCAAACTTTTTAAAGTTGCAATTAGGTAC